ATTAGAGCAACAGATCGGAGACAAGCAATGCTACTTGTACTAGCAACAGCTAATCCTCATACTCTGATTGCAGAAACTGACCTCAGCTGCTGCAGTGCTAGAAGGTGAGAATCATGGAGATCAATGTGGGGACCCCAAGCTTGCCTGATTACAAAGGGAAAGAATATTATGAGACTCGACGATTTTTTATTTCTAATTTAGATACCTTAATAAGTCGGGGATGAACCATATAAGATGCTAATAGACAACAAGAGCAATACACGTCATCTCAAGCAGCTTTGAAGGTAACAATGAAGCCTTACCTGATATCAATTGCCTAAAATCGATTGGTTCTGGCTGGCGGAAGAGAATAATTTGGTGAAAAGACCTGCAATTACTCATCGAATCACATATTAGATATTTCAAAATTCAATCAGGCAATTAAATCATCTATACTTATACTTACAAAAACTTTTACCTGATGCAGATTTCGCAAGTGATATCACCCTTTTTATTACACCATCTCTGAATGCATTTCCTATGAGCAAACTACAGGCAGAACCAAAATGTCAGCAGTATATTTTTGAGTTGAAAACTGACAACCGTATCACGACTCACTGCAATGTTTGCCCCCCGATAATCTACCCAAATTACAATGTTTGCTACGTAGGCCTTTAAGATTACGACCGATATTTGATTACATATAACTACTTTAAATAATCTTCACTAAAACTTATTCACTGAAACCGAAACATCATTACTTGTAACGAAATGTTAGCACAAAGGATTTATCAAGGCTTAATAGACCAAATAAATGGAAAATATTGACAACTAACAAAAGCTCTGTTATTTCACTTCAAAAATTTAATGGAAACGGACAAAAGGACATTTTTTAATATTCAACTATTTGATGAAGTCAAATATGACTTTATTGAGAAGTTATATTCATTTTCAGCTGTTTGGTTGGTTAACCAAAAACAGTATCAGGAAAATTTTCTGAAAAAAAGAGAGAAGAAGCTGAATTCACATAAATTATTGATAATGCAACAACTTTTTCAACACAAAAAAAAGACGAAACCTGAAGAAACCAAATAACATGACTTAATTTCAAAGCATCTATTGAAAAAGTCATATTTTCAAAGTTTTCTCGTAACCAAACAGGGGGTTTGGAAAACAAAATAATGACAAAAAAAAAAATATAATAAATATTTGACCAGACAATTCCAAATTTCAATAAGAACAAAATTGAAGTTAAATCCAAGCCCAGAAAGCGACGATCAAACAGTACAGACCACACAAAAAATAACTCATAAATTACAAATTCACTAATACCCACTACCAAATTCACTAGAAAAAAAAAAAAATATCCAAATAAACAGTTCACCAAATTAAAGTCCAATCTGAAGAAGACCTCAAAACTGCAAGAACAAATCAAAGAAGAGAGAACCCAAAAAAAAAAAAAAAAACTACTATCAGAAACCCACAAAAAGTTAAAAAACTCAGATAACCAGAAAAGGGCAAAAAAAAAAAAAGCCTTAAGAAACATGAAAAATATAAGGAAAAAAATAAGAAGGGAAGAAAATCAAGACCTTGAGGGTGCCATTACAAGCACAAGGAGCTTCCATGGAATGAATTTGATCTTCCTCTTGACAAATCCTACACTCCACAATTACGTCACCAACTTTCTTCTTCTTGTTATTATTATTATTATTGCTACTATTATTTTTCAAACCTCCTGAAATAGAAACTGAAGCTGAAGACCCTTCTTCTCCATTCTTGAAATTGTTAATAATAATATTATTAAAATTACTATTATCACCCACACAAACAAGAACCCCATTTCTATCATTCCTCTCTTGCTCTTTCACCACAACCACAACATTATCACTTTGTTGACTCTGTTGCTGTAATGTTTGTGGGGCTTCAAAGCAAGCTGAAGCCATGATCCTGTCCACACACACCATGAAGTCATCCACCATTTCTTTCTTCTTCCTCAATCAATAATTTATAAAATTATAATGTAGAAATGAAGAAACATAAATCTAGATGTTGTTAATAGAATTTTGATGCAGAAATGAAGGAGAAGCAGGAGGAGGAGATGAAGAGGGTGTACAGAAGGAGAGAGAACAAGTGGGTGTATAAAAAAGAAGGAGCACAGTGGGGAGTACTAAGTAGTGGTGATGGTGGTGGCGGAATTTACGAAACCAACCTATTTTGTTTTCTCTTGCATGGACTTCATTGTCCCTTGTCCTTGCTCTCATTTACACTTTTGGAACATTAAAATATCTTCCTAAAGTTTGTCCCCCATTTTTGTATGGCTTGCTGTTAAATTATGTTAACGTTTTATACGTCGGGGTCGTATGCTTATCAAGTATTCAAAAGATTAATCTATAGTTCATGGAATATCAAGTATTCAAAAGATTAATCTATAGTTAATGGAATATTGGATTATTGAGAATGTTATGTTAATGAAAAATTAGATTATCTTGAAAATTATTAGAAATCTTTAGAAAAATATGTTTGGTTAGTTAGAATAAATTGTTAGATATGTTATTTAAATTACTAAATTACCCTCTTTTTAAATATTATTTTTATTATTAATTTTTGAATAATTTCTCTTAACCCCTAATATTTCAGATTTAGATGAAACACCTCAGTTTATATAAGACTTTAATTTATAACAAAATCACTCTCATCACCCCAAGCCACATCCCAAATATGGTCATTAATGGCCAGATCCATTGATCTGGCCTGAAATAGCCAGAATAGATCTGGACATTTCCGGTCAGACCTACCGAACGCCATATCGGAGTCTCCCGACGACTCTTAGCAATTTACGGTGACGACCGGTAGTGGTTGGCCAACTGTCTGCGGTGGTGGTGGTGGTCTAAAATTTGTTTTAAATATAAGGACATTATTGTCTAAAAACTTAATTAAACAAGGGTGAAATTGTAATGGTGGATTAATGTAAATTGATTTTAAAACAAGGGCATTATTGTCCAATTTTTTTATTGATAAGGGATAAAATTATAATAAAAATAAGATAATCAAGTAATCCTATAACGTCTAAGAAAATGGAGGTTATCAGATTACCTATAATATTACCAATAATAACTATTATTAGTATTGGAAGATTATCGGAATCTTGTATCATTTAACAACCAAATATGGTAATCAAGTAATATAAAATGACATTACCTCAGTAATCTCATATAACCTCCAACCAAACGCCCCCTAAAGGGTTTGTCTGGTGGTTAACAATATTTGCTCTTTTCATTGATTTTCTGGGTTCAAATCATCTTAGGTCATCTACCATATTTGTGATTTTTCTAGAACATTGGATTTGTAGGGTATTCAATGGGCCTCGGAGATTAGTTGAGGTTGAGGTGCACTCAAGTTGGCTTAGACACCCCGGTTATAAAAAATTGTTTACCTACTCTTATAAATTTTAGATTCAAAGTATATGTCGCAAATATATACAACTCACATAGTATTTCATTTTATTAATGTACGGATGGCCAACAATTATGACATGTAAGGATGTCATATGCAACGACGTAATACCATAAATCAGTGCATGTATATCATGTAATATTGGATGTAACCGAGTATGATGGGGTGCAGTCAAACCGAGTAGCTCATGAGCTACTCTAGCTCGTGAGCTACTCAGGCTCGACTCATCACAAACTCAGGCTTGGCTCATCAAAAGACGAGTAGTTCACGAGTTCGAGCTCACCTTCAAGCTCGCGAAAGGTGTTGAGCTTTTCTGGGCTCGATTCGAACTACTCGTGATCTTCAAATTGCTCATGTCGTCATTCGAGTCGGCGAAGCTCGTGAGCTTGATCGATGGTTTCAGCTCGCGTAAGATCAGATTTGCCCTAAAATCTAAAACAAAGACACTCGGCTGCAAAATCCCTAAAACAAAGACAGTTTCCCTTCAAGCTTATTTCACCTCCACCACCGTCATCTTCATTTTTTCACACCACAAAGTCTGAGACGCCACCCTTCATTGAGCAACCACCAGATGACTTCTTCTTTGTTTGCTTGTTGCTATGTTTTGTGTGTAGGTGGTTGGAGAGGGATAGTAGGCTGGGTGGTTTTGGCGGTGTTGGTGGTTTTGTGTGGAGTTGATGTCAACCTCTTAGGAGCCTGGGGGTTTCGGTGGGGCTGGTGGGTTTTGTTTCCTTGTTGTGCTTGTTTTCTAGGCTGGTTTTGTTTTTCTGTTTGTTGGTGTTTAGGGGTTTTTGTATAGAGTTTCGCCTATTGTGCTCTTGGTGTGGGTTGTTTGTAAAGGATTTTGTGGAAGTTGATTTTACAGCTTCGTTTTTGGATTGCTTTGAATGATTTTAGAGCTTTTGGATGAACGTTTGCACCCTAAGTGTTTGAGTTTTTGCTTAAGTGAACAATAGAAGACAAAAGCAGTTTACATTGATTTTTACAGGTTTATACGAGCTTGGATCGACTCACCTCGTACTTAAATCGAGTCAAGCCGAGCTCGAGCTCGAGCCACTGCTTAACTAATTCGAGCTAAGCTCGAGCCAGCCATTACTTGGCTTGGCTTGGCTCGTATGCTACCCCTAATCGTGAGTCATCATTTATATGATGTTAGCTATGGTTAGTTGGTTGTATGTATACATAAATGGTGAATAAGTTATTCTCTAACACATATTATTCACTTTAAAAGTAAGAAATCGTGATAATTATAAAGGTGGAAGAGAGAAAAATATATTCACACGGGGCATGCGTGCATTTGATTTCGTGTTGTAGTAATATGATACTATGTTCATATTAGAGTGTACAAACAATTGAAAATTATATATTGGCATGACGTCTCATGGTTAATTGGTTTATCAAGAGTTGTTATAAGAACGTTAATTCTGCCACGTAGTTATTCAATTTAAAAGTCATTAATTACATTAATGATAAAGATGGAATAATAGAAAAGATTTATAGGTGACATGCATGCATTTAATATATGGCCATAGAATTCAAATTAAACTTTGATCATNCCTAATACTTCTCATTGACCATCCATTTACTCTTGTTTGTAGATATATAGAAAGTGTTCTCTCTCGACAGAATTCTACACACACCTATCCAGAGCTCGTTGAATATCTAAATGCCATAGATTCTTGGGTATATCATAGCAACTCACCATCTTAGTATTATTTGACTTAAGTTTCTTTCAATATTACTTTGTAGTGGCAATATGGAGGCTCTAGGAGATCATATTTTCAATGGCTATATTAATTGAAATCATATGAATGCTAGATTCTTTCTATTAAGTTGCATTTGCCAATGTAGTTTTCTTTTTGTTGGCTATGAATGCAGGTAATGAAATATAAGTTCCCTTCAGAAAAGGACATGAAGCACATCAACCGGAAACTAAAATCTTGTTGGGGCCATGGCTCACATGAAGAGTACTGCCTACAATTCATGTTCTGTACAGATATTAACATTGCTATTACAGAACACTGATTTGTCCTAAATCCATGCACTTCTTTGATTACTTGGCAGGGGTAAGAAACGGGAAAAGAAATCGAAGCACAAGTCCAAAAGTTCAAATGAAATGCAAAATGGGCCTTCTCATGTGTAACCATACATTCTGCTTTTCGTCTTGGATTCCTAAAGTGATTATCGTCAAACATGAATTCAGGTTTGACTCCCAAGTTTTGGCAGAGCCTCTGTTGCACTAATGAGTTCAAACCTCTCTTTTTCTGTACTAACTCTGATTTCGTGAACAGATAAATATACTAAGCTTTTCATGGCCTAATCGAGTTCTGGATTGCAAGAGAAGTCTTTCCAGTGGAAGAGAAATCTGATTCTTTTACAGATAAATTTCAAGGCATTATCAAGATTCTTTGCTTCCGATTTTGTGAGTTAGAATTTTGTTATTTTTGAAACAGCGGAACATATCCATTGTTGAACTCACCATACGTAGAACACCATTTACTTGGAAGTTCTGTGAATATGTATTTGAGCTTATAAAGTTCACAAATTGAGAAAATTCCTTGACTAGAAATGAATCCTCCCCAGCATAGAGACGGTAACTTCGAACGAATTAGACAGAAATCCAATTTATTTTGTTCCATTTCACTTTTCTTTATAGGCTTTTTATTTTTTCTTGGGGTGTATTTTATGATGTTCATACATGACCAAAAGGGAAAATTTTTGGGACGTGTAACTCCTAGTTACTATTTGAAAATGGGGATGCTTCACAAACCATATGGATTCATCTTTATTTAGTACTGAAATTTTTTATAACAAAGTAATGAGTGCTATTCAATTTCCCCTGCAAACCTGTGTTTTAAAAACCGGATTGGACCGGCCGGTCCGACCGGGACCTGGCAGCTTCTCAGGTCTGGTTCAGGTCTTAGGGGGGTTATTATAATAGTTTAAAATTATAATGGTTAACTTGTAATTTTATAGGGGTATTTTTGAAATAAATAAAAATTTTACAGACTAATTTGAACTTTTTAGAGGAATTTTTGTAATATATTAAAATTTGAGGGATTAATGATAATTTTTTGAAAATAAAATTGTTGCTGATGTCATCGGTCCAACCGGTTGGATCAATTGGACCGGTTGACTCGTGACTCGGGCAGTCAAACGGGTTGTCCTCCAGTTCGGGTTTTAAAACAATGCTGTAAACGCAAGTTTGAAACTAGAGTCTTTGTCGAACTTTATAATCTTTAGGATGAAGGAAACAGTAATCTAAATCTTAAGATCGAAAGCATACCATAGACTTTGATTATTTGATTAACCTTAATCATTAAATTAAAGAATGCAATATATACGAATTTTAGTTCGTAGGCTTATTAGAAAATAGTAAAGTTTATTATAAAGGCAATTTAAAATTTTGAAAGTTAAAAGAAAGTTTTGGAGAGGTTGAAGTTTTATAATTATGGACTCATCCACTCCTTCATCTTCATGTTTATCCATATTTACTGCTCTCGTAAGTGTTGAATCCTCGACATCATCTTCTTTTTTAAATCCCAGCATTACTTTTTCTAAACTTGTCACTTCTCTGTTCTTCATGACCTTTAGAGCCCTTGTTAAGCCATTAAGAAAGCCTGTGAAAGAATATGTGTCCTGTAAAACAATGGCATGTCTTGATTTTTGTGATGAAAAGTCTTGACATGATATTAATCTGGATGCAATGTTTTTATATTTGGATTGGGCCTTGACTCGATCAAGGGACCGATCCTTGAGTCAGGTGGTCTGATCGGTGACATCATGTTGACGTCAATATAATATAATAAAATTTTAAAACTCTAATAATTAAAAAATTTCTAAAATAAATTCATTTAGAACGGCGGTCTATTCTTTGACCCAACGGTTAAATTGCGGTTTGACACTACTCTTGTCAATTTAACCTCGAGTCAATACAATCCAATAGGTTCGACACTACTCCTGTCAGTTCAACCTCGTGTCAATACATTTCAATAGCTAAAACGAGTTTTAGCCTGTGTGGACCCCCAGTTTGGTTTAGGTTTTGAAACCATGTCTAAATGATGATTAATGTTATCAAATATATTTGATTATAATATATAAAGTATGATATTTCATATTTATACAATTTACTAGATTTATCAAATTATTCAACGAGAAATCATTAACATATTGTAAACATAAGGCTACCACTAACTGGAAACTACAATCTTCTTTTATATTATTTCTTTTCCTTGGAAACGACGTCGCTGTGCTCTGTTTCTTTTGGTTAAACACTACAAAACCCAAAACCTCACAAGCTCTACTGAAAAGCTTCAATGGCGTGCATAGTCTCCATAAGCTTCTCCGCCCCCCTTCGTCCTCCTTCACTCAACGTAAGTTCCTCTCCAAATGCCTAATTCTGTTTTCTTAGTTGGTGTTTGAAACACCCCCTGTTTTTGTTTTTCGAGAAAATTTTAAACTTCATATTTTACAGCCTTTATGTGAATAAATTTGTGAACTTTAAGTTTGTTTAACTTGTTTTACAGAAAATTTATCGGGGAAAATCGGCGCCAGCCAGGCTTTCACGTAATGCAATTGTTACTACAGGTTTTGTTCTTCAATTTTCTTGTATTGCAAACTGATAAAGATTAGTTTTTTTATTTGAATTTTGGTTTTTAATCATGGTTATATTATGTTTGTCTCATGTGCTTTAGGTTGAATTTTAATATTTTTGGTGTGCCGAATTGCTAATAGATTAACTAGAATTTATAGATTTTTACGCTTTGAAAAACTTTTTGCTGTTCTACTAGATGTTCATTTGTAAAATGTAATGCCACTTTGAAGATTTATTTTTCCTATCGAGTTGAAAAATGGAGTGGTCATGTGGAATGCGAATTTCTTGTTGAAAATATTTTTGATTGGATAAATTGAATGAAATTATGTGAACTCCTTTGAAGCCAGGTTGAGTTGAAATGAATTATCTAAAACCTTTAGATTTCAATCGTCTAGCGAGATTAGGTAATTTCCAAAGCAGGCAATAAACTGAGTCTGGGAACTTTGCTACTTTATATGGGAAAATTTTGAATGAAGTAATTTGAAAAATAGAACTTTCAGTTCACTAGATTTTACTTAATTGAACTTCAATAATCTCACGACACATGTGCACACATGTATAAAAAGATGATTAAGGCCAATCAGTAGTGATAAAATGGCTCAAAAACTCTGATGGAATGAATTCCATAATTGTTCTTGGAAACGTCTACGTTGTATACCAAAACGATATTTTCATTGCTTGCTTTCAAATTTTGACAATGTGAACTTCATTTGCAGCAGCCAATCTTGTTGCCGCCTGCAGCTTAGATAGAGGCTTATTTCCTGTGAGTCAGAGCTCTCATTGTCATTTAACAGCTTCTTTAAAGCATTTTGATGAAATTGTTTCTTGTTTGGATATAAGTTCTTGTACTCATATGAAAATAACTGGTTATTGGGTTGGACCAGATGTTGATGATGGTTGGGGTTTTGTAGAAGCATTTGTTAAACGAATTACTTGATTTCCCATTTATCACGAATAATTTGCATGGTTTTTTTTTTTTTTCTCTGGTTTCTGTAAGTTACTAGATGGATGTTGCAGAATCGCTCAGGCAATGATCTAAAAGCACTTGCACTCTATAGTATGTAAAAGTATCCAAATATTATTGGATGCAAGAAATTTGGTTGGTTTTTTTTCATTTGGCTGAGGGCATTTGTGGATATTGCTGGTGAAATAGGCTGTTGACTACCAAAAAGGCTTCAAACTCTGGCTTAAACCAGTGTTTCTCAATAAACTCTATCCTACACCATTTAATGCTGTTGATTGGTGAAATATTACTAGATTTCAAATCATCGAAGATATGAAAAACTAATTGCTTTTATTATTATTTTGATAAAAGCCAATCAAATATATAAAAGAACTAATTACATTTACATTGTCCAATAAATCAGGTATAATGTTATTCAACATATATGAAAGACACTGCACACTAAAGTTAGTGTAATATATAAACTTTAATGAGAAGATGATGAAGAAAGTAGTAAGAACTCATTCAATTTTTAACAACTCAAAATTAAGAAGTCAGCTTATAATTTACCCAAATCTAAATGGTATCAGCCATGCTTCTATTGAACTTGTCATACAATCAATATATACTCAGTAAAGGTTGTCTGGATGTTGATTGAGGATCAGAAATTTATTGATTTTATTCCATAGGTGCTGAAATGTTTAAGCTATTAACAATTTTATCTATTTGGATTACCTTTAATGGAGCTTCACATTCCTTTTTACTTACTACCATGGTTGGAGGAAAATGAACAGGAATTAACTACTCTTCCTCCATTGCAGCATTCAATAGAATGTGCTGAACAATAAATAACCAAACTAAAATAATTAAAATCTTTCAAGTTTGTGGTGAACAGTATTCCAGTTGTGTGCAAGCCAGTTAATATCATGCCTTCATTCTACTATTTCTGTTGTGTCAAAATTCTTAGCTTGGGATTGCTATCATAGCAAAACTTATTATAGTGAAGTGTTTCTTATTTGAATCAAATTAATTATTAATAGGTCACTCTCCTCCAAGTGATTTTGGGAGGAGGGAGGAAGAGATTGGTGTCACTGTATTCATAAAAGATGTTGTGGGTGAAACAAAATGGATCTACATGCTAGTGCATGTGCACTTTCTCCGTTACACGCACACATATTTATGCACTCCCGCACACGAGTGTGTGATTGCTCTGCATTGGTAAATTTTGATATGAATGGGAATTAGCAATTCTTCCTCTACAGTAAATAGCAATCAGTTGAATGTGTTGAACAAAACATCACCAAATTAAAGTAGTTACTATTTTCTTGTTTATGGAGAACAATGATCCAGTTGTGTGCAAGCTGGTGAATAGCGTGCCTCCATTTCCCTAATTCTGCTGTGTCAAATGCTTTGCTTGTGAAAGCTATCATAATAAAACTTATTGTACTGAATATAGTGGAAACTTTTTCTTACTTGAATCCAATTTAAGTGTTACTCAGTCAGACTCCTGATTGATTTTGGGAGTAAGAAGGAAGAGATTGGTGTCACTGTATTCATATGATGTTGTGTGTGAAGCAATATCTTTCTACATGCATGTGTGTGCACATTTTCTCCCACACACACACACACACGCACACTCATATACAAACGTGTGAGCACGTGCGAGTGCGTGACTCCTTTGCGTTGGTATATTTTGATACGTATCAACATTGTTCCCTGGACCATTAGAGATAAGGTGAATAATTACTTTAAGTAGATCAAAGCTTTTGAAATGTGTATTAGAGCACATTGCAATTTGCAACAGTGTTGCATTTGCTTACAGTGACTGCTGCAACTCACATGGATAACCCATGATCCTCTGGCCTTCTGTCCTGGATAATGGGTGCACCAGATGTGGTACAGTATCAGTTTACGAAGCATCGGTTGGCGCTTGCCGGACAATCAATGTGATGTGAGCACATTATGAATTTCGATACCACAATTCCATGGTTGGAGCCCATGGAAGCAACATTCATTCCAAAGACATTGTACCTGGAAAACCATCACAGAATTCTGCACTGATATTTTTGGTCCTATTTTCTTGAGGTTTTCGAAATTATCCCATAACTAAAGAAACCATCTAATATTACTGCTCACTGGCATGGTTGGTCCAGAAACTTTTGGAGTTTTTAGCTTTTGTCCCTCTTACTGCCTTATTTTCTTCACATTTCTCTTCTTTTTGGGGGGGAACATATACATATGTAGTGGGAGTTTCTTCCATTCCTTTTGTATCAAGTGCCCCTCAGGTTTCATCATCTATTGGACAGAGAGAAAAAAACATAACATGGTTGAGAAGTGGTCCCCAAAGTGGTTACAGAAACCCTAGGTTGCATCTTGATACCCTAAGTCTGACACAAATTCTAATTTTAATTTTAGGGTCTTAGCAATCATCTTTTTATGGAGAAATTAGCCAATCCATTTGCTTGTAAAAAACAAAAAGCATGCCCTTATATTTGAATAGGACTTTCACGTTTAATCATGTTATGTAAAGCCACAAGATTTGTGGTCCCTTGTTCTAGGGTTTAGTAAAGCCCTAAATCAAGTACATATGCCACCGTGACTATTCTTGTTTCCTTTTCCTTTTCTTGTCTAGGTAAATAACTATTTGTATTATCTCAAAGTTAACTTTAAAATTTTTGTGCAAAAACATTAAAAACAGTTGATCAAAGTTTTTGAAGGCTTTATTTACCTGAGATGATACAATTGAACTGCTTGTTTGGTCTTGAACTTTGATCTTTACTTACTTTTTTTCATTTCCCTCTTTGAGAAAGATTGCTTATTTTGCCGGTAGGAAAAAGTTCAGTAACTTGAATTGAAACTTTCTAAAGATGAAGAGTCCTTTTTTTCTTTTTTTTAAGTTTACCCAGAAAAACAAAGAGTTAGAAACGAGAAAGTATCATGTACAGGAAATTGTTGGACACACGGTCTCAGTCATAATCAAACATACAGTGATTGGAAAATTGAACATCAAGTGCTATCGTTATCAGGAACATCTGAATAAGACACGTCTGCGTGTGCGCGTGCGTGTGCAAACAGAAAGTTTGATCTTTCTGGAGAAACCAAATATAGCAGTTTCCTTTATAATATACATGAAATTGAAATAAAAAGTTTATAAATTATAAGTTAAGACTCAATTGATGACTCAATTGATCTTCATCAGAACATAGCTAGGTAAGATTTCCATAAATGCAGAGAAAAGTAGTGAATTCAAGGAAAGAAATATTTCAGTTTCATCTATCTAGCTAGCACTTTAGCAAAGTAAAGTAACCCTCCTCTCACAGAACACTAAGCAAGAACTTAAGTTTCCTTAAAATCACAAATCAGTTATTAAGAACTATTTCAACTGCTCTAAATTAGTACCAGTCATAGAGTACTAAATATACAAGATACAATTTCTACAGATCAGTTCACAAATTCAACCAAGTGACTCTCCTCCAACAGAAGGAAAAGGGAAAAGAGGAAGCAAATTACTACAAAGAGAGGAGCCATAGCCATAAATTGAGAGAGATATACAAGGTTAACCATGTAACTTATAGCAGCTTTGCTTGTATTCAATCCTAGAGACTGAAAACTTGTGCAAACTGATTACAAAGATCACTGTTGTCATAGTCTTCTTCACCGTAAACAGTAAAATGTTGTTCAAGATGGCTTTGTAAGAGGGGATTTACCTTTCTCAAGAAGCCTGGACTCTAGTGGAGTTAAAGTTTCAATTTGCTGCCCGCTTTCAACATTCTGATCCTTTTTATGGTTTGATTCTTCATCTTTGTCTTGGCTGCTACTGACTTTGTTGCTTTGGTTAGTTTTTTCTCTTTCAGCTTCCCTATATTTATGTAAGTACCTTGCTATAGCCTCAGCATAGTTATCAAACCCTAGAGCACTGAGAGCCCAACAGATGTCATCTCCATTCACTGTCTTGCGATTCTCCTTGTGACACTTGTCAGATGCCTCACTTGTTACAAAACTTATAAACTCAGTTGCACATTCTTGCATTGTTTGTTTGGCTTCTTTGGAGATCTTGGCACTTGGTGGCAGGATTTGCTTCATTATTCTACCCACGTTGGCAATAGGCAGTAGCTTATCTTGCTCATCTACCATTTCTATACTCAAAACTTGATCTCTTCAAAGACAGACACGTTGCCTTTTAGTCTGCAGACTCACGGCTATATACTATATAGATGGGTATCTATGTGTCAGCATGTATGCAAATGCATGTTCATGTTAATGTGCATACATAAACCATGCCATATATCAATTATGCTGCATGATGAGGATGCCGCATGTCATGGTAAATTTCTAGAGGATGAACCACTATGGATATGCCGTTGTTTCAATATTGATGGTATGCTTCTTAGAATAACATGACAAAACAATTATATATATATAGACAAAGAAAAGTTTATGTTTCAGTGACCAAAAACAGATAAATTTTGATGGTATATTTTATATATGTTCCTTCTAGCATGCATGATTTTACTTATGTTTAGATGTTCCTATATAAGTTACATGCAGTGGACTGGTTTATATGGACCTTTATAGTAAAAAAATATCAGTTAAAGAATTAAAAGTTTAGGACAGATGAGCTGAAACTGAAACCTGCTTTTTTTTTTGGTTTGATCAGGTAGGTGAAAACTAAAAATAAAGATAAAGAACCCATTGGTTTTGATTGTGTAACTATGGAGCTCAGCATGACCAAACTTTCACAATAATTCTATCAAGTCAAGTTTAATATTGAGTAAAATGAGCAAGAAGTCTTCCTTGATTCTACTTATTAATTAGAATCTGACCAAGTTTACTCCTTTGCAACTTCGCCCCCTAGATTTTAGGAATAATTTGGGAAAGGTTTTAAAGCTTAAAGGCTTAATAATGGTCCCCACCACCAATGCCTTCTTTTAACTGTGTAATATATCTTCTGTATCCTTTTATGCTTGCATTATATATATTAACATAAGCTTGATATATTCTCTTTACTATTCAAATAAGTGGTCTGTATTGGTGACCGTTCGCATTTTTAATGATTTGATTAATCTAATGACGAAGCATAAACCTAAAAAAAAAAAAGCTGATTATAAACGCTAGTGCGCCTTGATTACCTATGCTTAATTAGGTTTAGTTTTAGGTTTATTGTTCTTATTGGCGGCCGAATAATATTTTTCTTTATGAAATTGAATCTGTTAGGTTTTGGTCAAGTTCTGTGATTGACAAGTTTCATTTACACAAGATAAACAAGTCTCTAGAATACCAGTTATGAACCTTAGACACCCACAAAAATATGCATATGCAAGCATGTTACTCACATTGTGATTAGTTTCTTTTATTAATGAAGCTGTTAAAAAATTGTTAGTGGCTTTTTGAAGCATGTTGACACTTCTAAATTAGGTACATTTTGTTATTAAAGAAAAGTATATGTAGACGAATCATGATCAGGCTCTTCCAGGACCAGGCCACTAGTTGAGTTAAGGATGATGATCATGGAAGAATTATTTGCTGTACTTCTTGTGCTCAACTAGAGGTTTTGAAAGTGGGTGGTTTATATATATGTGATTTATCAAAAATAATGGTGGGGTGGGGTTAACAATATAACCCTTTTTGGTACAATATTCTTTGAGCAAAATATCACTATAGTGGAAACTTTTTCTTACTTGAATCCAATTTAAGTGTTACTCAGTCAGACTCCTGATTGATTTTGGGAGTAAGAAGGAAGAGATTGGTGTCACTGTATTCATATGATGTTGTGTGTGAAGCAATATCTTTCTACATGCATGTGTGTGCACATTTTCTCCCACACACACACACACACGCACACTCATATACAAACGTGTGAGCACGCGCGAGTGCGTGACTCCTTTGCGTTGGTATATTTTGATATGTATCAACATTGTTCCCTGGACCATTAGAGATAAGGTGAAAAATTACTTTAAGTAGATCAAAGCTTTTGAAATGTGTATTAGAGCACATTGCAATTTGCAACAGTGTTGCATTTGCTTACAGTGACTGCTGCAACTCACATGGATAACCCATGATCCTCTGGCCTTCTGTCCTGGAGAATGGGTGCACCAGATGTGGTACAGTATCAGTTTACGAAGCATCGGTTGGCGCTTGCCGGACAATCAATGTGATGTGAGCACATTATGAATTTCGATACCACAATTCCATGGTTGGAGCCCATGGAAGCAACATTCATTCCAAAGACATTGTACCTGGAAAACCATCACAGAATTCTGCACTGATATTTTTGGTCCTATTTTCTTGAGGTTTTCGAAATTATCCCATAACTAAAGAAACCATCTAATATTACTGCTCACTGGCATGGTTGGTCCAGAAACTTTTGGAGTTTTTAGCTTTTGTCCCTCTTACTGCCTTATTTTCTTCACGTTTCTCTTCTTTTTGGGGGGGAACATATACATATGTAGTGGGAGTTTCTTCTATTTCTTTTGTATCAAGTGCCCCTCAGGTTTCATCATCTATTGGACAGAGAGAAAAAAACATAACATGGTTGAGAAGTGGTCCCCCAAATGGTTACAGAAACCCTAGGTTGCATCTTGATACCCTAAGTCTGACACAAATTGTAATTTTATTTTTAGGGTCTTAGCAATCATCTTTTTATGGAGAAATTAGCCAATCCATTTGCTTGTAAAAAACAAAAAGCATGCCCTTATATTTGAATAGGACTTTCACGTTTAATCATGTTATGTAAAGCCACAAGATTTGTGGTCCCTTGTTCTAGGGTTTAGTAAAGCCCTAAATCAAGTACATATGCCACCGTGACTATTCTTGTTTCCTTTTCCTTTTCTTGTCTAGGTAAATAACTATTTGTATTATCTCAAAGTTAACTTTAAAATTTTTGTGCAAAAACATTAAAAACAGTTGATCAAAGTTTTTGAAGGCTTTATTTACCTGAGATGATACAATTGAACTGCTTGTTTGGTCTTGAACTTTGATCTTTACTTACTTTTTTTCATTTCCCTCTTTGAGAAAGATTGCTTATTTTGCCGGTAGGAAAAAGTTCAGTAACTTGAATTGAAACTTTCTAAAGATGAAGAGTCCTTTTTTTCTTTTTTTTAAGTTTACCCAGAAAAACAAAGAGTTAGAAACGAGAAAGTATCATGTACAGGAAATTGTTGGACACACGGTCTCAGTCATAATCAAACATACAGTGATTGGAAAATTGAACATCAAGTGCTATCGTTATCAGGAACATCTGAATAAGACACGTCTGCGTGTGCGCGTGCGTGTGCAAACAGAAAGTTTGATCTTTCTGGAGAAACCAAATATAGCAGTTTCCTTTATAATATACATGAAATTGAAATAAAAAGTTTATAAATTATAAGTTAAGACTCAATTGATGACTCAATTGATCTTCATCAGAACATAGCTAGGTAAGATTTCCATAAATGCAGAGAAAATTAGTGAATTCAAGGAAAGAAATATTTCAGTTTCATCTATCTAGCTAGCACTTTAGCAAAGTAAAGTAACCCTCCTCTCACAGAACACTATGCAAGAACTTCAGTTTCCTTAAAATCACAAATCAGTTATTAAAAACTATTTCAACTGCTCTAAACTAGTACCAGTCATAGAGTACTAAATACACAAGATACAATTGCTACAGATCCGTTCACAAATTCAACCAAGTGACTCTCCTCCAACAGAAGGAAAAGGGAAAAGAGGAAGCAAATTACTACAAAGAGAGGAGCCATTACCATAAATTGAGAGAGATATACAAGGTTAACCATGTAACTTATAGCAGCTTTGCTTGTATTCAATCCTAGAGACTGAAAACTTGTGCAAACTGATTACAAAGATCACTGTTGTCATAGTCTTCTTCACCGTAAACAGTAAAATGTTGTTCAAGATGGCTTTGTAAGAGGGGATTTACCTTTCTCAAGAAGCCTGGACTCTAGTGGAGTTAAAGTTTCAATTTGCTGCCCGCTTTCAACATTCTGATCCTTTTTATGGTTTGATTCTTCATCTTTGTCTTGGCTGCTACTGACTTTGTTGCTTTGGTTAGTTTTTTCTCTTTCAGCTTCCCTATATTTATGTAAGTACCTTGCTATAGCCTCAGCATAGTTATCAAACCCTAGAGCACTGAGAGCCCAACAGATGTCATCTCCATTCACTGTCTTGCGATTCTCCTTGTGACACTTGTCAGATGCCTCACTTGTTACAAAACTTATAAACTCAGTTGCACATTCTTGCATTGTTTGTTTGGCTTCTTTGGAGATCTTGGCACTTGGTGGCAGGATTTGCTTCATTATTCTACCCACGTTGGCAATAGGCAGTAGCTTATCTTGCTCATCGACCATTTCTATACTCAAAACTTGATCTCTTCAAAGACAGACACGTTGCCTTTTAGTCTGCAGACTCACTGCTATATACTATATAGATGGGTATCTATGTGTCAGCATGTATGCAAATGCATGTTCATGTTAATGTGCATACATAAACCATGCCATATATCAATTATGCTGCATGATGAGGATGCCGCATGTCATGGTAAATTTCTAGAGGATGAACCACTATGGATATGCCGTTGTTTCAATATTGATGGTATGCTTCTTAGAATAACATGACAAAACAATTATATATATATAGACAAAGAAAAGTTTATGTTTCAGTGACCAAAAACAGATAAATTTTGATGGTATATTTTATATATGTTCCTTCTAGCATGCATGATTTTACTTATGTTTAGATGTTCCTATATAAGTTACATGCAGTGGACTGGTTTATATGGACCTTTATAGTAAAAAAATATCAGTTAAAGAATTAAAAGTTTAGGACAGATGAGCTGAAACTGAAACCTGCTTTTTTTTTTGGTTTGATCAGGTAGGTGAAAACTAAAAATAAAGATAAAGAACCCATTGGTTTTGATTGTGTAACTATGGAGCTCAGCATGACCAAACTTTCACAATAATTCTATCAAGTCAAGTTTAATATTGAGTAAAATGAGCAAGAAGTCTTCCTTGATTCTACTTATTAATTAGAATCTGACCAAGTTTACTCCTTTGCAACTTCGCCCCCTAGATTTTAGGAATAATTTGGGAAAGGTTTTAAAGCTTAAAGGCTTAATAATGGTCCCCACCACCAATGCCTTCTTT